GAAACAAAGCTGGGTGCTGAAAGTCAAGGTCATGGTCCTCACCAGCCTCAAGGATAAACTTCGTCACTATCCAAAGTGCCCAAAGGACTGGGCTCTGGTGACCTCCCAGCCATTCTTGGAGGCACGAAGGCAGCCTCATCAGGGCAGAAAAGGTAGAAAACATCAGGAAGGAGGCTGGCTGACTGCCAGAGCTGCCTTTTCCTTTTAGTCTGAGCCCCACAAGGGGAGCAGGCCCTCTCAGCGGAGCCGAGTCCTGGAGGTCTAGCTAGCCCGTGAGCTTGAGGGTGGAGGCTATTTCCAGTTCCCACCACTCCCAGGAAGACCAAGGATCCAGCTCTCTGAAGACACCATGGCATGCGAGGAGTTTATTTTAGTTCTGAATGTTCTGTTGTACTTGGATTTGGATATGGGTGCGTCTATATTCTGAAAATCCACTTCAAGCTCGAGAAGGATATTCCAGTTCATAGGTACTGGAAGACCCAAACCTCCTGACCCCCACCCAATCCAGTGGGTGCATCATGACAGCTCCCCCCTCACAGTCACCTAAAGGTGGAAATAGCAAAGAGGTGGTGAGTGGACAGACGAGCAAACCATGTGGCCCAGCCAGGCAATGGGCCGTTACTCAGCCTCAGAAAGGAATACAGCACAGCCCCTGCCGCAGCCTGCAGGAACCTGGAAAACACACTGAGTGAGGGACACACAGCATGGGGCTCTACAGGGTGACATGTCAGCACAGGCAGCTCCACAGGGCAGAGCAGACGGGGTAGCCAGGGGCTGGGGCAAGGAGTGACTGCTCCCCAGACATGGGATCGGCTTCTGCAAGCAAACAGGCTTTGGACCAGGATGGAGGTAATGGTTGTGCGATAGTGTGAGCCTCCTCAGAGTCACTGTACCACTCCCTTGCTAAGGATTATACTTAGGTTGCCTGAATTTTATCTCAACTTTTAAAATTCAAGAGCAGAAGAGAGTGGTGCTTAGGGCACCAGAGATGGAAGCTACCTCTGCTCCAAAGAGCATTTGGCCCAGGGATGTGTACAGCCAACCCCAACAGGCCCCAGGTGGTAGGTTTGGGGACCTGTCATACAGCTGTCCTTCAGGTAGCCTTGAAGCCATCCCAAGACCCCATACAGGTGCCATCTGCATAAGTCCTGCTGCTATGCCCCAAACTCAGTGAGTTAAATAAAATAATACAAGTTCACTTACACAAGTGCCTTACAGTTCTGCAGGGCAGAAGTCTGAAATGGGTCATTTCTGCATCAACGTGTCTTCTTTGGCGGCTCCAGGGGAGCCTCAGTCCCTTGCCTTGCCTTTTCTAGCTTCTGACCCTGCCTGCGTTCCCTGGCCTGCCACCATATCACCCCAACCTCTGCACTTGCCTTCATATCCCTTTATCTGACCCTGACCCTCCTCAACCAGCCCCTCTTATGATTACAAACTTGATTACGTCTGCAGAGTTGCACCTACAAATACCCTTTTCCCTGCCACACTCGCAGAAAACAGTGCCTAGGAACCAACGCATCTTTTGGGGGGTCATCAGTCAGCCCATAGCATCCCAAGGGCCAAGGGCTGGCTGTACATCACACAGGCTCACAGCAACTGTTGGGCAATGTTTGAGTCTAAAGAGACAGAGGCTCTGAAAGCAACCCTGCCTGAGGTCACCCAGCTGAGGGGGAAGACCTTCATGGGCCTTGCCCTCCAGAGATGAACACCCCTTATAGCTCAGTCACACAGTACTCCCTTCCACTTCTCCTCCTTCCCAGTCATTCAGGGGAAGGAGGACACCCAAAGTCAGGACACCCCTGAATCTGCAAGGTGGGCTCTGGCCATGACAAGGACCCCATCCCCACATTCCTCCCTCCTCCCCACCATCTGATTCCCCGCACTGGCACCAGGGTGGTATTCAGAATAAGTCTTCAATTCATTGGCTTTTGAGAAGTATAATTAAGGCTCTTCTAGCAAATCAGTTCATTATGCAGAGTGCAAGGGTGAGAAAGGATGGGTTTTTTGAGGAGTGGGAAAGAATGGGTTTTTCTAGGAGTGTGTAGGCTCCTATCCAGCCATGCAGAACACAGAGTCCTCAGGGCCATGGAGTGGCATGTGGCTTTTCAACAATAAAAGTGTTTGTCTAAACAAAACCTTTTGCTAATTAACAACACTGGGAGGTATTTTACAATGAAGAGTGTGCCTGGTGTGTTGTGAAGTGCTGTGAGGCTCCCACAATGCACAGATTCCTGGGGAAACCTCAGCCCGCGTACAGGGAAAAGGAATGCTCAGACTCCCTGTGCCCAGCAAGGGAACCTGGGCTCACAGGAGGGCTTGTGAACCGACAGAGACCTTGTCCCCAAGGGCCACAGAAAGAAAGGACCCCAGGAAAGTTCCAGACTGGGGCTCAGACCAGGAAGGAAAGGAGGAGGTGAGAGAGGAGTCCATCCACCAGAAGGAGGATAGGCATGTGAGAGCCAGAGTTGGGCAAAGCATCACCTGTGCTCAGGTGACCCTGGCACTTCCCTTTTGTCTGCAAACAGTTCTGGTTTTGTCTCCAGCTCCAACTCACCCTGTGTGCAGCAAAGAGTAACTCAACACACTTGGGTGCTCAAACCCTGCACGCTCAAAGGAAGGCCTGGCTCCAGCCCAGCTCTGGGGAGGTGACTGCTAATCTTAAGTTCCTGCCTGATAAAACACCTGACAGAGCCTTTGTACCTCTTGGGCATAGGTCACACCATAGTCTATGTTAAGCATGTGACTTAGGGTGGGGACCTGGGCCACACAGTGTCAGTGAGACCTTGGGGTGCTAGAGATTGAGGTGTCCATGTGACCGATCACCAACACAGACTCTGCACACAGGCATGGTGGACTTCCCTACTGGCCCGTGGGTGGACTCTACTGGGAGAGGACAATGGGAAGCCCTTGCTTGCTGACTTGCTACGGAACCCCACCGGTGTGCCTTCCTCATTGACTGACTCTAACCTGATCTGCCTGCTGCAGCACACCATAACCATGAATCCGGTGGCTTTTCTGCAGTCTGCAAGGCCTTCTGGTCAATTGTGAAGCCGAGAGACGTCTCGGGGATCCCAAACACACCATTGCCGTGATGAACACAAATTATTTACTGGCCCTTCCCTGGGCCAGACACTGAACTAGGGATCGATATACCTCATCTCAGTAAGTCCCCAGAAGCCCCCTGTTCCTTCCCATCTCAGCAACATAAAGGGGACTCAGGTGTGTGGGCACAGGACCGTGGCTTGCAGGCACTGGGGGCTCACCAAGTGCAACCCAGGCCCAGGCCTCTGCTCAGGTCACTGTGTACTGTGCCTTCCAGACTGGAGGCTTTGTCCCAGTCCAGGGGCCCCTTCAGCTGGGTAGTTTCCAAACCAGAGAGGGAAGCCAGCGGCTTTCCACCTACACCTGCAGCCTTAGAGCCAGGCCCACAAGCAGGCCTGAGGTGTGGCCTCTGCTTGTCTACATCATCACTGGGACCAACAGAAAGACATACAAGGGTGTCTTGCAAGGAGTTCATCAACACCTCAGAGGGCAGGGGTCCCCAGGACTGGGAACACGGGCACAGCTTCAACCAAGAAATGCATCTGGGCGGCTGTACTAAGCAGCAGGGCTATGCCCAGTGCTACACCAGGCCACCATTTCTCAGGCTGATGCAGGCCACAGCACCAGGGCTCCCTCTAAGTTGGGAAGAATGTGTGATGGGTTGGAGAGAGGGCATCATTTAGGATTTCGTGCACAGGCAAATGAAATGACTGACTTTTATTCCAAGAATTTCACTCGAAAGCACGTTGAGCCAGGCCGGAAGCGCAGGCACCAGCCACCTGAGTGTTGTCAGTGTGAGAAAGAATGCCTGATAGCTCAGTTCCAGAAACACAGAACCCCAAAACCACACACTGTCCATCCAGGAACAACATACTTTTTAAAAACTGAACAGTTTTAAACGATGCCAATTACACAATTGTGAAAAATAGTCTGTGCGCGGTTGGGGTCTTGGTGGGAGGGAGGCTCTGGGAAGTACCAGGAACCAAGGGAATGGGACTTGCTCAACTGTTCTTCTTGGTTTTTTTGTTCATTTGTCATTTGTTTCGTTTTTCTGTTTTGAGACAAGAGTCTCCCTATCTAGCCCAGGCTGGTCTTGAACTCTAGATCCTCCTGCCTCAGGCTCCCAAATGCCAGGATTACACACCCAGCTCGACTGTTATTCTTTATACGCTAACTGCAAGATAAATATTATTTTCTCTCTGTTTAATATTTCATCTGACAACATTTTAAAACAGCCTGTCCTATGGTTGACATAAAAAGGGAGGAAAAAACCAACTCAATTCAAAGTATTTCCTCTAAGAGCCCAGGGTACAGATATCCCCAGCAGGCACCCTGATGTACCTGGTCCTACTCTTTGCATCTGAGTAGACAGCAAGTGGCCAGTTCTCATCCAGGGCCACCCTCCCATGCCCTGTGTCCCATCCATGTGTCAGGGATGGAGGCCAGGCAGGAAGGGAGCGACACATGGGTATCTCTGGGGCCCAACTTTCCAGTGCAAGCAGACTGCCAGAGGGTGGTCATCCCTTGGGACTAGCTTCTCCAGACGGCCTACCCAGAGACCCACAGCTATCAGCAGGGCCACATGCACTGGGTTCCAGCCCCTTCCCTGCACACCCAGGCCAGCTCCTTCATTCATGCCTGGGCTCCAGTGCAGGGAGGGTGAGTTTAGGCAGGCAATGATCTGTGAAAGGATTAATTTGCTGATCTTATTACCTAAATCGAAAGCGATTTTGCAGCCGTCAGTAACATGCTCACAAGATTTCCCTGGTGTGACTGTGGGCCCCTCGTCCACGCCACTTCAGGCCAGCATGAACCAGAGACCTCACCACACAGTGAAAATGCATGACACAGACACACACACAGGATATCTGCTTGAAACCCCAGTATCTGCTGAGGCACACAGGAGGTGCATGGACATTAAGGGGACTGTCCTCCCCAGCTCAGCCCCAGGAGCTCACCTGATCCCTTTGTTCTGCGCGATGCTATGCAGTGACAGTCGGGACACAGCCGAGATGACCTGGGGGAGACAAGAGACAGTTACTGTAATTGCACAGACAACCAGAAAGTCATCATAAAACTGTGATCAAGCATTTTGCAGGCATTGGGAACTGTTAGCTAAGCACATCTTGTAAGCAACAGGGTGAGGCTTTCTGTGATGAACACCTGTGTTGTATTTGTTGCACAAAATCCGTTCTTTTCAGTGCTGATATTTGCTGAGGACTGATGTGTTCCCAGTGCAGTGCCCCCAAGGGGGGTGAGTCTCAGCTCACGTGGCCATGCTGCCACCCTGGCCCCAGCTCTGAGTCACACTGAGTCACTTTCTCAACCAGGAAGGGGTCTGCCTTGCGAGGGGGCTGCTGCAGGTCTTACGCAGCGTCGCTCCATGTCGCCTTTCTGGAAGCTATCGTACAAGTCATGACGGCTCACGTTCAGAGAAAAGGAAATGAAAGCCCAGAGGCGTCAGTGACATGCCTGAAGTCACATAGCAGAAGGGACACCAAGCAGATGCCAACGTCCCCAGGTAGTGCTGCTTTTCTTTAAACCCCAGCTCTGTTGGACATCTAAACAGATGTCTGGCTCCATGGCGGGGTCAGGATGCAGGAGGGCAAGGAACCCCAAGTGCAGAACTACATGATAAGATCGTTGTAGTGTCTTGCAGGCTGACGGACTCCCCAAAACGGAAGTTCTGGAACATCAGGCAAGTATCAACGGCCACTCCTCCTCCTGTCCACCCAACCCAGTCCCGTCCTGTGATCAGGCCACATGCCACTGGACATACAGAGCCCACTTCTCAGCCTCAAAAGCCCCTAACCATTATTCTACAGATCTTCAGAAGAACTCACAGCAAGTGAGCCTAAGGGAAAGCAGAAGGCTCCACTGATAAATATGGGGAAACTGAGGCAGGGAGTCAGTAGCTGCATATGACACACACGAGACAGACCAGGAAGCTTCTCGTGCACAGTTTGTTAGCGGGATTAATAGGACACAGCATGTCCAGTGCAAAGCACTGGAGAAGCAGCTGCACAGTACACGTGTAAGCACCTGCGGTGAGCTTGCGGCACACGTGTGTGTGTTTGCCATGTGAGTACTGCGTGTACATATTGCTGTGTGCATACATACTTTCTGGGCACATGCTGCAGGGTCTTGTTTACGAATTGTGTGTGTGTGTGTGTGTGTGTGTATGCCTGGGAAACTGAGCCCACGGGCATTTTATATGCACCACCCCACTGAGTTCCCTACAAAGCCGTCTTGCCGGCCACCCCTGACAGGCAGGAAATCAGCTCCTTCCCTCCCCAAGACCCTAGCTGGAACATGTTTCTCAAACTTCCCTTAGTACGTTCTGCGATCAGCAGCAATTTTTAAAAGTGGAAAACACCACAGAGAAAGGCCTCCTCAGTCTGAAGGGGCGGCAGGTGGACTCGCCCCCAAGCAGAGCATGTGTGCAACCTTCCTGTCGGTGACTGTGTTTCAGGGACTGGGACTCATGGAAGTCATGAATCCGTGGAATGACAGGCTCTTTCTGTGTCTCCTCAGACAGGACTCAATTGGCCGGCTATGCAGCTGGCCAGTCGTAGCTCCCACCCGCCTGTGCTACAAGGGGCCATTCACAACAGCAAGCAACGTGGTTTTGGATGTTGGTTTTGGCTTTTAAGAGCTCTAAATATTTAGGCGAACTAAAAATTATAACAGTATTATTCTATGTCCTTATAGCTATTTGAAAGAATGCTGGACATGTTAGGTCTTGAAGGGTTGGGTCAGCACAGGCACCCGAGCCCCCCTCTCCTGTCCGCCAGTGGAAGACATTGCTAACCAATCAACTTTCCTCCCCATGAGCCAAAGGCCGGAGCAGAACCCTCAGCAGAGGCCTAAGGCGGCACCACGATCAAGCAGCCCAGGCCCAGGAGGTACAGCCTGTTTGCTGACCCAAAGTCAGTGCAAAGGCCTCATGCCGACAGGTACAGCCCAACTCAGAGAGTTGTGGCAGGCGGATGGGGACCTCCTCTGACCATGTGTCCATGGTCCCAGGGGACAGCATGTTCCTACAGCTGCTCTGGCCACAAAAGCCCCCACCCTGAGCTGAACACTTTGCTCCAAGAAAGAAGCTTCAAAAGCAGTTTGGGGAGAACTGGGCTCTGGCTCCACAGTACAGACAGGCAGATCCATAAACAGGCTTATGTGCCCAGTGGCCAGGAGCCCAGACGCTGGCTCTGGTCAGCTCTGGTGGAGGAGCACTGTCCCTTCGTCTGAGCTGCGTGCTTCATGGCTGTTGTCTATGCACAGAGGGGAAAGCTTGAGCCCACCACAGGGTAACCAGCTCCGGTGGCCCAAGACCCTAGGCAGGTGCTGGGGGGAGCAGCCTTGAGACCCCAAAGAGCTGCAGATCAAATGAGGGGCAGAGGCCCCATGGGCAGCCAGCTATCATGGTGGAAAGGAGTAGCAGGGTAAGAAGGCATGGCAGATCCCACGGCACCTCTGCTGTGGTCTGCCCCACTCCCAGCACGCATAGCCAGGAGTCCCCAGGGGCAACATTCTCTGGTGACAATCAAAAGCCTCCCAGCCCAGGGCCCCTGTGGACTTCTAAGGGTAAATGTCAAAGGATGACATTTTCCTAATGTCATCATCTGTGCTTCCCAACAGCATCCAGGTAAGAAATGAATGACTTCCCCCCCCCTTCCTCCTTCCCTCCTCCTTCCACACGTCCTCCTATTCCCTTGGGGCTCAGCCATCTCCATCTCTCTCTCTCTCTCTCTCTCTCTCTCTCTCTCTCTCTCTCTCTCTCTCTCTCTCTCTCTCTCTCTCTCTCCCTCCCCACCACCACCATACACACACAGAGCCCAGCCCCAGTAGTGATGAGCCCTAGGGGAGGATGGGGGACAGAGAGCGAGAAAAGCTGTCCCCCTGAAGACAGTCCTGCTGGGGTGCCCACGATGCTACCGGTTCTCCCAAAGCCAGATTCACTGTGCCATAAGCCAATGTCCACCTGGGCCTCACACGACCCGTGTGCAGCTGACATGGAAGGAAGTGTGACAGTCAGGGTCTGGGTCACAGATCAACACTGGCTCTGTCCTCACCGGGCCATGGCTGCTCTGTCCCCAGCTTCTCAAGCCCCCAGCCAACAGCTCCTATAGGTCCATGGAGGAGCTCTGAAAGACAGACACCATTCCACTCCACCTCAGGGACTCTGGGGCCCAGGAATCTGCATTTTGTGGTCAAGCTCCCATGTGTCTGGACTGTGCACTTCCCTGGGGACTGGATCGCACAGGTAACCCTGCAAACTGGGTCACAGCTGGAAGGACCAGAACACACACAGACTTTCCACCTACGGATGCCCTGCAGAGATGGCATGCCTTTGAGCTGGACAGTCAAGCAGAGGTTCAGGCAGGACCTTGGGAAAGGAAACATGGTGTGGGGCAGAAACTTGAGCTTGGGGTCCAGGGGACAGCTGTCCCTAGTCGAGGCCTTTCCAAGCCCAGGGCTCCAGAACAGGGACACCGAACCCCTGCCACTGGGGCCTGAGGTCCTCCTGCCTACCAACAGAATGACAGAGTTATCTTGTCAGCCCTCATCACAGAAGCAGCCCAAAGACAGGCTTCTTCAAGTTCTGCGCTTACAATCCTGGCCAGGCAGAGGCGACAGGCAGGTAGGTAGAGGACAAGTCCCTTTGAGGAGAATGACCCAGGGATGGAACAGAACCACCTCCTTTTGACAGAGAGAGCAGACACCTGTCCCCATGCTGCCTCCCTGTCACCAGCCTGAGTGTTCTCGTCCTGACAGGAGCAGGCCCCTGTCGGAAGGGCTTTGCCGCTGAAGCTCAGTCTGATGTAACAGTGAGCAGCAGGGACAGGTGGCACAGCCTCCCTCCTGGAACAGCCTCGCCCCAAGCAAGCACTGTGGGGCTCTGGAGCCTGGGTGTCAGCCCTGAAGCCATGGCCCTAAGTTTTCCCTGCTCCTCCACTGAGCAGGGCCAAAAGCCCAGGAGGAGTCCTGGGGCTGTAAGGCTCTGGACACTGGCTGGGAATCGGTGCAGAGTTGCCTGTGAGAATATTCTGGAAAGGCAGACCTCACCTCCTAGTTAATACGCTCAAAAAGAATTAAGAAGCAGTCAATGAGGTAAACAGTCACCAGCAGCAGGAGAGATGCTCTGAGCAGCAGGGAACCAGAACCTGGACCCATTTCTATGGGACACACATTGAGTTTAAAATTTATGGCTTTTTCTCTAAAGATGGCTGAGTTTTCACCCTTGGGTGTGTGGGATCCAAGAGAGACAGTCAGGTACACCCCAGCTCAGCATTCTGATCCTTGTGCAAAGTTGACACTGCAGAACAGAACCCACCACGACAGGACGCCCACACAAATATCTCAGGTGAAAGAAACAAGCCGCAAAACACAAAGAGTAGGCACAGTCGGGTTCTCAAAGATGTATCCTTGAAAGCAGCCGGCAGACACCACACATCGTGTCAGCAGTCATTGTCACTGATGGATGAACCCTCTCTTACCTCCCACGAGAGACTGCTTACTGGGCACTTACTACATGGTAAGGACCAGGACTGGCACAACACCAACACTGCTTCCTGCATGCAACCCCATGTATTAGACGTGGTTGCCCAGCAGCAAGTAGCTAACTGAGGCCCTTGCCTGTGCTCCTATTACTGCATCTCACAACCCACAGGCCCCTGCACAAAACCCCTTCTCCAGGCCCAGCTAGAACCCCTACCACAGCCTCTGCTGTAGTCACCGAGATCCACTCAAGAGACATAAGTGGGCCATTTGTAGGCCTGGCTGTGACACCTCCCTGCATCCTGGGCAACCTCAAAAGCTACATGTCAAAAAAAGTAAAGCCTGAGTGTCATCAGCCTGAGTCCTTGCTGGTCTATGTGAAGCAGAGGCCACTGACAAACACATGCTCTGCTCACACCCTCTACCCCGGGTGTCCAGCCATTTCCTGTGGAAGCCATCACAGCCCAGGCCTATGGTCAGAGAGCACCTCAGTCCTTACACAGCAACTGGGCTTGTGAA